TGTTCAACACACAAACGGTCATTTTTGTGCAAATACCACAGAACGAGATCTGACGAATGTCATTGTGGACAATGCATAGACACGACGACAAAATGTCGTACTCCAGGTATTGAACGAAACCCCCGAATGAGAGATATATCGTACCGTAGCAATGTAGAGTTTATTCCAGGAGGTTGGAGAGAGCCGTCATGGCAAAGACTACTCCACTCATACCCCCGTGAACAGAGCACGGAATAGGGAAAGCAGGATTCACTTCAAACTTTGAAGTACAGGGCCCATTTAAGTCATGGCAAACATTCTAGAATAAGTGAATTACACAAGGTATTCCTCGTCATACGGCGATACTTAAAAAAAGTCATCGAAAACGACAATAGTTGAGAAATGAAACTATTTCAATCCCTTTTTTAGTAAGGGCGATATTAGTTAGTCATTTACGATAACGTAATAGACAATGCCCACCAACTGCACCTGCGAGGTAAAAACACAGGTGTCACTGTTTTATTGTTTTTAAACTATTATAAATTAATTTTAGTACAAAATTATACGTCAAATAGAGAAGATGTAGATTAGGTAGACGTTTGTTACTCAATAACAAGAAGTTGATACCGTTTATAAGACGAAACTTGTACGGTTAAACAGGTGGCCACGGTTGACAGGTGCCATCGTAATGAACAGAATTTTGCAGACATTAAATTACTCTTATTAGATTTATGTAATTTATTTATTATGGAACTTACGTAAGTATGCTCACAAAATGAATTACTTAGATCTCCAAATAATTCACAATTCGCAGGGATACATCTCAATACTGTGTAATGTAAAACAGTGTTTTGACTCACAGGAGGACATCGTTTGTCGTAATATATTTGTCCGTAATTATGGTTGGGTAATGACTCTCCCCAGGAAGGTCTTGGTCCTGTCATGTACTTCCTGTATGTGACCTCGTGTACCTGACTGTGTTCCAGTTCAAGACAGAGTTTATAAAAGTAATTATAATGATAAAGGGCACGTCACACCTTGACCAGCAAAATTGCCATCAGGAAAACATGTTGCGTTAAATTCCATAACTAGACTTATAAAAATAGTTAAATATAACTAACTAGTAACTTTTATTACACTTTGGAATTGTGACATGAGTCCTACTTCTTACAGAGAGTATATCGATCCGGTGTTTGATCGTACTGAAACTTTTTTACAGGTGACCACGTTGCGTGACAGGATATCATGTTGTACTTAGTCAAAGTGGGAGCTAAGAGGCTGCTCCGCTGCGGTGTGAAGAGGAAAACCCGTTGCTTTTCAAGCTCCAGCTCCGAACCGGCCCTGAAACATCGTTGGTGTGAATGAGGTAAAAGAGAACAGGGAGACAGTGCACGACGCTATCACACTAGACAAAGAAACGCTCCAGAATATTTAATGGAGTATCAGTGTAACGCTGATTGTAATGATGAAGATGAAAATGTAGATTATTTCTACAGAGTTGCTTGTGACGTACCCAAAACATACATGCAGGCTGTAGGCTCTAAGAAATCAAAAATATGGGCTGATGTAATGAAAGAGGAGATAAACTCTTTAACAGAGAATGAGACCTTCAGTCTGACCACACTGCCAAAGGGCAAGCAAGCAGTGGGAGGTCGTTGGGTATATGCAGTAAAGGAAAGCCCAGACAGATCTGAGATTTTTAAAGCCAGATATGTAGCTAAAGGCTATAGTCAAGTCGAGGGAATTGATTACAAGGAAACTTTTTCATCGACAGCAAATATTACTTCTGTACATACATCGATGCAGGTGGCTATACAGGAGGATCTTATCCTACACCAAATGGATGTGAAGACAGCTTATCTCCATGCACCAATAGACTGTGAGTTATATATGGAACAGCCCGAAGGTTTTGAGGCAAAATCTAAAACAGGGGAACACTTAGTGTGCAAACTCAACAAGTCATTGTATGGTTTAAAGCAATCCGGGCGAAACTGGAACAAGTTACTGCATGATCATCTTACAGAGAATGGGTTTTTGCAAAATGATGCTGATCATTGTGTCTACAGAAAAGAGTCTGAGAAAGAAAAAGTTATTCTGTTGATATGGGTAGATGACCTACTTATAGCGGCCAATAACAACGGCTCACTCAGTGATGTCAAAGAGATGTTGAAGAGGAAGTTTAAAATGAAAGATTTGGGGGAACTTAAACACTTCCTAGGTATCGACTTTACACAGAGTGAGGGGGAGATCAAAATGAGCCAAAAGAGACACATAGCAAAGATGCTAGAGAGGTTTGGCATGTCAGAGTGCAAACCAAGGTCAACTCCATGTGAGCAAAAGTACATTTTGACACTGAGGGTGAAGTTATAGATTCAACAGGATACAGAGAGATAGTAGGTAGCTTGATATACATTATGACATGTACTAGACCTGATCTGAGCTGGATTGTGAGTAAACTATCACAACACTTAGCAGAACCGAAACAACAACATTGGGCTGCAGCAAAACAACTGTTGAGGTATCTAAAGGGTACAATAGACCAAGAGCTTCATTACAAGAAAAGTGAGGAAAGCCTAAAGCTTGAGGGATACAGTGATGCTGATTGGGCAGCCGATCAAAATGATAGGAGAAGCACAACTGGATATTGTTTCAGCTTAACTGAAAATGGTCCAGTTATATCCTGGAAAAGCAGGAGGCAGCCAACAGTGGCGCTATCGACCTGTGAGGCCGAGTACATGGCATTAGCGGCTACTACTCAAGAGAGCATGTACCTTGTACAGTTATACAGATAAATCAACTATTTAATGTGGATACGACGAATTCAAGGTTCATATTAGGAACCGGGAGAGGGGGTTAATATTCCAAGGAAAACTCACGTGGCCTTGGTAGTCTGATTAGTTTACCGAAAGTGAAGCGATGTGGTTCTTCAAAAACAAATGATTGTATATTAATAACTTTTATCTAGGATCATTTGAGTTTCTAACGCAAATGTATGACTTTATAATCTCAATATTCAAGGTATTCTTTCGTAAATGTACACTAAATCTCGGAAATTTGGATTTGTTTCCCTCTGATTATATACCTCTTTTCCGGCTTTGCTATTTATTATTTCTTTAAACTAATAATTGAGCCTTTTAGTATCAAGCCGTAAACAGATTCAGGAAAAATGTGACCAGACACAGATATTTGCTACCATTTGCATAGAGCATTATTTAATTTAAAAGCGATACATATACAGTCAACATGGTCAGTTTCATGGTACAGTAGGCTACAGTATACGATAACAACGATGTGAATTCCCTTTTAAAATATGATACACTGTTTTTCAGCATAACTTAATCATTCAATATCAGCAGCGCAAGCATTTCCATTTCTCCTCAAATGACGTATCTTACATTGCAATTGATTCAAGTCATACATGTAATGAAGTGCAAATAAACACATCAAATGTAACAAAATTAGGAGGATCATTTCCTTTAAAGAGCAATGAGTCACATATCCATGTCTTTCTGGAATGTCAGTCTCTAGTCTTCTTCTCACACAAACATCTGGTGACATAAACACATCTCTGTAAATCATATGAAGCTGTTAATAAAGTTTATTATTGACTGCTTTTGCTTTAAGGTAAGACGATAAACTACATTCAGCTCACTTCTGGAAAGTAAGATTGTTTTCTTCAGAGTAGGAATGTCATTTTACATTCAAGGTAAAGGGATTGCCGATTCAGCCCAAATTATAATATTGGTCTGGGTGAAAAGCAGGAAACTGTGAAGGTATTTTTTCTCTCTGAACTCTCTGGACAGGAGTTTCTATTGAAATGCATAGCTGCAGAAAAGGGGGAAAAAGAAACCTCAAAGTTCATTGCAGTCATGCCGTTTTCAGTCCTAAACCAATCACATGCAGTTTCCTACAAAGTGATTTGAAGTAAACACATTCCATTGCTGCAACTTGTGAAGAAAGTCTCCTGTGTCGCACAACGATTTCCTTCTAAATAGCTTTTGTGTAAACTTTAATGGCTGGATATGGTTACACACTGCTGCTGTAACTTGTTTGGCAGGAAACAAACAAAACATGGCTCACAAGACCTTGACAATGGAGGCTTAATAAAAGGTACTCAGACTGGTCTAAATGTCATCTGAGGATTATAAGGGCGGTCTTCTTGCAATCGCTAGCAGCTCTTCGCTCTTCCAGTAGCATGCACTCTGTACACCGTGTTGTATGCATGCATTCAATAATGTGCACAAAACAGTCTTCAAATGAGAAAATGTTCTGCTCTGGCCTGAATGATTAAGTGTTTTTTTAGTACCATGAAGACATCACAATATTTACATCTGGCAACAACATTAAGAGGCTCGTGAGGATAACCAGGCATTTTGTATTGGGCAATATAAAGAAACAAAAACCCTCATTATAGTAAGATAAGGCGCAAAGGTGTGCAACAATTTCATACATGTATCAAATGGAGTGGTTCATACTCTTGTGATGATTGATGATCACAGAAAAAAGCACACAACTATTGGAAATATAATCAATAAAATACAATCATAAATAACAAAAACAAAGACAAGCTGTGCACAAACACACAACAAAAACCCTGTCACACACAATTCAGAGTTGTATTGTCTAATGAGGGGTCTCATTGACTTTGACCTCACTAAAAAGGTGCAGAACTTTTGTTCTTTACTTGGTTTAATAATTATCCTTTTGGAGTCATAAACGCCAATCCTAGCATTTCCTCATCCCACAACAAGAAAAGCATGAATCTCCCAAAAAAGACACACCAACGTTATACGATCGTAAAGGTTGTTGATGTCACTGGCCCAATGTGTCTGTGTATGTGTTGTTTGATAAGGTAAAAATGGAGCCAGAGATAGAAAACATGCTCCAGCCTGTGGACACACCTGCAGGCTAACAAAGCAGGTCCGTGCACACAGGTCTTACACACACACACACACACACACACACATATATACGACTGTAGAAAATGAACAATGGATGGACGGAATCCTCGCTCCACTTACTTCTTCCCACACTCTATGCAGTGCTGAAACTGGGCAAAGCTAAGGAACACCTGCTCCAGTGATATCTGGCTCACACAGTAGTCTTCAATCTGATACTTCTCTTTGGCTGCCTCCAAAGTGCCAAACACCTGTGTGGGAGTGGAGAATAGGGAAGGAGGTAAAAAAGAAAGCAGTGATAAATGGATGCATCTTTGGTGTTATTAAGCCTTTCTGCCATGAACACATTTAAAGCTACAGTCTTCATTTTCTGACAATTAAATCAAGTAAATAGACATTATTTCTCCTTGTGTTCACACACAGTGACTTACCTTAACTTTCACAACACATTTTTGAAAGCTAGCTTTAATGCTTTTTAGAATTACATGCTACAACTAAACTACCCTATTGTAACTGTATTTTCAACGTTTACATTTTCAATTTCTGGGGTTGAACATTTTTATTGAGGTTATCAAGTTATAGCTTAGGTATTTAAGGGATACTTTATACCATTCAGTCCACTAGAGGGAGCGCTAACACAGCACAAGTGCAGAGAAAGTAGAACTGTATAAAAACCGTTACCTGTGCCCAGGATAGTGTTTTGTCTGTCAAATGATAGTGCACCATTCCCTGGTGCTCATCCTTTAGTTGACTTCCTGTGGTGGGAGAAATATTCACAGGATTAGATTTGTTTTGTTATAGACTACTTTGACAGTAAATCACCCTCAACTGTTTAACGTAGAAAACAGAAGATCATTTTATCTGCATGTTCGATTGAAGAACAATACTTCAAAGCAGTTACAATAATACATTTTGTTCATCATAAAACATTATTACATGTATGGTCTTTTAGATTTGATGGTTAAGTTGATCACATATACAGAATTGTATCCTTTATACAGTAATGTAAATCATTTGTTTAGATGTTATTGTAATGGGTAGCCTCTGACCTGGGAAGGTACTTTCAATAAAGTCTTTAAAAAGCTGCAGGTCGCTGTCCTCCAGCTCAGCCTCGATGTGTACTTTGGCCAGCAGGGTGTAGCCACTGCCGAATTTGCTCTTCAGATGCTGGGGACTCCCGAGGCACTTGAACTGCCCGTTGACCATCACTGCCAGCCGGGTGCACAGAGCCTCACACTCCTCCATACTGGTGAGGGAAGATATCAGAGAGACAGGTTAAAGGTGTAGTCATGTTTTCTGCTTTTCCTGCATCAATACGTAGCATGCAAACTCTCTGAGCATGTATTCAGATGTTTTATCTAGGTAACATTGGAAAAACCAAATTGTAATAACACTTTGAAAGTTCATTATTAAAAATGTTACAGTACAAGTACTAGTATCAAAACATACTTAAAGTACCAGAAGTAATTATGCATAAAACAGGCCAGTAATTGTTTATTATATCATATAACTGGATTATCATTTATGATGCATCTATTTTATGTCTAGTTGGAAGAAGTGTTAATGCTAAGGGTCATTTTAAGTATAGTTTACTGTAAAGTCAAATTATGAGGTAAACAGGAAGGCAATCCAAAATGTAAGAAATAGTATTAACTAAGAGGGATATATTTAGAAAAGCCTTTTTTGTATACATGTTTCAACTACGGTAGTAGCCCTGACAAAATAAAGAAAACAACTTTTTGGATTGCATTCTTGTTTTCTCTGTAAGCAATACATCCTTGAGGAAACAGAGCATCCTCTGTCTTTTTCCTACAATTTAGAGATACTTATACTTGTTTTTGTATTGTTTTATTTATTTAAGTAGATTATCTGAATACCTATTGTACCACTGAATATTTTTCTTCTGAAGGAAAGCTTAGAAGTATGAATTAGCAAAAAATGCAAATTCTCAAATAAAGGACCACTAGCTCTGAATATCAGGTCAGTATCTAATACATCTGTGAAGCTCACCTATGAGACGTGATGATGATGGCCTTTCCAGACTCCCGTGTGCGTGTCACAGCGTCCCACAGCAGCCTCCTGGCCACGGGGTCCATCCCTGTCGAAGGCTCGTCCAGGAAGATGACCGGAGGCCCACCAATGAGAGCCATGCCTGCACTCAGCTTCCTCTTGTTACCTCCACTGCACAAGTGGATAAGGACATATTATCTACATGCACCTTCTTAACAAAACAGGGCATCTTTCAGGCTAGTGTGTGAACCATGTGACACAAAATAAATTAAAGAAAAGGCTGAGATATTTTCTTCAGTCTCCATACCTGTAGCTGCGGACCAGTTTGTCAGCATGAGGCTCCAGCAGCAGCGACCTCAGGACATTCTCCACGCAGCCGGACACATACCTCTCTGGTATTCCTCTGAGCCTTGAATACATACTCAGAGTTTCTCTTCCTGTCATGTGGTCCAACACGGCGTCAAACTGAGGACAGTAACCAATGCGCTGCTGCACCTGCAATCCAGAGATAAATGTTTTCTATCAAATCATTGACCTTTAAAAAAGAAAACCCATGGGCATCGATTGATGGTTGATTTACCAGGTACGTCCTTTCCTTCTGTCTCCTTCTGCTCTTACCTTTTTAATGTCCCTCAAGATGCTGTATCCATCAATGTAGGCATCCCCAGAGGTCACAGTCTCATCACCAGTCAGCATCTTAAAAGTCGTGGTCTTGCCTGCTCCATTGAAGCCCAAGAGGCCGAAACACTCCCCTTTCCCCACAGCTAAAGACAGCCGGTCCACAGCGAGAAGAGTCGACCCGCTGCTGTACACCTGAGGAGGGGAGATAACAGTGGGTCTGTGCCACATTGTCATATCTCACAAAGCCACACACCTCAGGAGTCACACATATTGAAACACTGAGGCTGTGTTATCACGCGAGGGGAAAAACTCCTGTGCTGCGTACCTTGCTGAGCTCCTGCATTACGAGGGGGCTGCCGACCATAGACTCTACCACCGGCTGACACTCCAGGACCCTCTTTCTCTCTTCAGCCACATCCCTGTCCTCCGGAAGCAGAGCTGCATCCTCTGTATGAGCGAACTAAACACATATGGGTAGAAAAAAAATCAACAAAAGAAGTAAGACATTGTGTGACTATGGTACGATAAAACTTCAAGCATCGATAATGAACAAACAGATATCTTAGTACATGGGGAAATCAAACATACATTTGTTATAGTTTATTATGTAGTAGCCTACAAAAGGAGACATTAATAAAGACTTCATAAACAAGATAAGATAAGCTTTGTTACATTTCATGAAAAAAAATAGACTGCTAAAACTGTAATCACAATTCTAACTTTTTTATAGAAAAAGGCATCGAGAGCTGTAGCTAAGTTTTAAATAAAACCATCCATTTCTCGATTAATCGTAATAATGAAACATGGCTTTCATAAAGGGCCATAGATGGCGAAGTCTGACTAACTGAATCCCAATATATTTATTTAAAAGACGATCACTGCCTGGTTCACCGCCATCTACCTGTTTATGTCTTCTGAACAGGGAGGTGACGAATCGCCGGAGAGTTCGGACACACTGCATCTCGATGACAAACAGCAGAATAATGAAGACTAAACCCTGTATCGCGAAGGCCACGACGAAGCGTCCCACACCAGGTTCACTCATCGAGAAATAGTTTGGCTGGAAGGTAATGTCTAGAAACACAAAAACAATGTTATTACAGCATAAATATGAAGGCTGTACATACAATGTGATCATTTCCTTTGGGTTTATAATAGTGATTCAAGACAGAGGGAAATTGGATTAAAAGAAAAAGTGTAAAGCTGTCAGTTTTGAATGTGTCGGGACATAAAATGCAATGAAAATAAAGAAATTCTGTTGGATCTGGGTGATTAAATAATGATCCTGATTGACCTTTTGACCCTGAGGTACATTATTATTCATATAATTATTGTCACAATAAAGATGAACCACCACCATTATCCCCATATATGTTTGTAATAGTAGACCGCATTGTTTTTCCTAAAAGCATACGCTTTACCAAGGGCAAACACCGACTCACCGAGGCTGCAGTTAGGTAGTACTTACTCAATATTTCACACGCCATCAGGCTGAATGGTGGACTGGAGTTGCAGAACGTGATGAATTCGTAGTTCTGGTAGAACTGGCTGAAGGACATGCCCAGGCAATAGTTTGGGAAGATCAGGAAAACCTTATCCAGCAAGTAAGACAGGTGCTTCATATGTAACTCTGGAAAATAAATTCAGAAGATATCATTGACAGGGATGGAAAGGGGAACAAATGTATTCGATTTTGTGTTCAAAAAGAGCACAGCCATGCCAGAAGCCCTAATGCTGGGCACTGAACCCAAATCTGTGAAGGGGTTGACAAGTGCTTTTTCCCTTTTTACCATTCACCCACTGCAATGCAGTGTATTTCAGCCAATTGCTTTTCAATCCTTAAAAGTAGCTCAAAACATGAGGGCCCGAGCAATGGCAACCCATTTTTTATATTGAAAGAACATTTTGATAAAGTGGGGTTGTATTTTACTTGATGACAAGACATCTACACGGCCACAACATCAGATCACCCTAAAGATTGATGCATAATGAGTGCTTTTTAGCCATTGTTGCTTAGCTCGCGTGTTACTTCAAGTGTTTTTGTAGTGTCTTGTTGAGCTTAAAAACAGCTAAGTAAGCCTAGCCTAGGTAAATAGCTTAGTTGGCCTACACACTTTCTGATGGCTCGTGTAATGGTTTTTGCTGCAAAAAAATTCTTATACTGTAATCAATCAAACTATAACTGACTAATGTTTTGAGTAATATCATGTAGGGGAAAACTTGCGCAATCAGATAAGCCTTTCTCATCTTCAAGAGTATTTTTCACAGCTGTCTGAAAAGTTGGGGCTTTCTTGTATTGTGTGCCCTTTGAAATACTCATGCCACTGCTGTAATTTCCTTTTAAACATCTACCATTGCTGGAAGCATCTCCTCTCACCTGGGATGGCCAAAATGGTGACAGACAGAAAGGTGGCCGTGCCAGAGATAATGTTGAAGATGGTGAGGCGGGTGTAGGCAGTAGCTGCACTGGAGAAGAGGAAGCTGAGCAGGTACATAAGAGGCACAACAGCCCAGCCATACAGCAGCAGTAACAACAACACATCTACCAGGTGGCAGTTGTCCGTGAAAGCCTTGACTCCGAATGCCTGAAAAACCACCTAAGAGAATAAAACACGTTAGGACAGGAGACTGTAAAAAAGCATTTATCAGTTTTTATGTATACTGCCTGGACCACTGGTGTCACACTGACCAGCATGAGAAGGCAGGGCAGCAGGAAGTTGATCAGGTCCCACAGCAGGGCAGAGAACCAGAAGTTTGACAGGTAGACACCGCTGACCTGCTGTACATGCTTGGACTTGATAGAGGACTCTGTTACGAGAAGTAGGGCAAACGTGCTGGACAGGGAGGCCATACCGTACATCAGGTTGATGGCAATGATGAAACCGGTTCTTCCCCTAGAGATTGGAGGAAAACGTTAAGAAATGAGGAGGAAGAGGTTGTTAAAAAGAAAGTCAAAGATAAAGCGAGAAATAACTAGCAAGGCACTACTGAAGTACAAAGACACTCAATCATGAAATCTAACCTTTGTTTATCAGCATGAACACTGATGAAAAACATTTGATAGCATGAGTAAAAAGTGTGTTTTATTGTGTTGCACTTTTGGAGGAGCCTGTGACCTAAGATTTTCATTGTCATATCTACAGTGTATATATTGTAAAAATGAAAATAGAAGCCTTGAATCTTGAATGAATCTTAAGAGCTCTTTTCCCTTTCTCTTCTGTCCACTCACTCTCTGAGCTGGCTCTGGGCGGTCTCAGACATGTTGCGTGGCATTGGGTAGTTTCCCGTCTGGATGGAAGCATTGGGTCCTGCTAGATGCTTGAACAGAGCATTGTCCACCAACATGAGGGCTGCGGCGGATGTATGGTAGCCTGCGTTGTTGAAATAGGCCGTCACTTCTGTATATTTGCTGCTGCTGCCACGGAAAGCCGCACCCACCACACAGCGCTCATTAAAGCTGCCGCCTTCTTCCTCTGCCTGGGTCAGGACGTAATCTGTGAAGTCTGACGGGGAGCAAAAGGGGAATACGGTCAGTGTCGTCTCAAATGTTCCCATAATCATTACAATCATATATATAGATTATGTTTTATACTCCGATTGCCTTTTACTCGGTTAAATTGTAGTTTTAGTCCTATATGTGTTAAACAGAGACATTTAGGATTGACCTTTCAGGAAGGGCAAAAGGTGGATTTGCAAATTGTAAAGGACAGGGGGGTTTTATGGTGTAATGGTGGGGATTATTAGATAATGCCTAAGAAGACAATTGATGGGTGGGACCAGTTTGTACTCTCTACTATATAGTGTGACTGTAAGCTGTGTTCTGGGAGCAGAACCTCTCTATCCTCTGAGGATAAAGTGGCTCTGTTTCTGCATTTGAGATCGATTTTACTTGTATATTGACTTTCTTTATTACTTTATTAAATATAACAAAAATCCAACTTTGTCCATGAATCTCTTATCAGTTTCTCTTAAGAATTTCCTCCACAGTGAGTAAATATTCAACTTAGTCGTCAAGCAAGGTCCCTGTCTCTCACGATGCTCACCTGTGATGTTGACGAGCTTTCCAAGCTGGGCAGAGAGCTGTGAGCTGTATGTGTTTGCCAGGGCAGAGGCCACGGGGCCCATCCCTGGCGGCAGGGCTACAGGAACCCTGGTGGGGCCGTACTGACTGAGGGCCAGCCTCAGCTGAGGGGCCTTGTTGTGATTTGGCAAGCTGCGTGCCACAACTAAGGCCAAAATGGTGAAGACTAAAGGGACCAGGAACTGAGCCACCATCACCTTCCAGTTTCTCCAGCTGTACAGCGCCCTCTTTAAGAACATGGCGTAGAACTGTTGAATGTGTAGTCTGGCCTGATGGAGGAGGGAAGGAGATGTTAAATGTGTGCCATATTAATGAAATGCAGGATATATACCAAGTTTGCTTCTATGTTTATTGGGTTTTTTTCAACAGCATACAGTTATTCTATCAGAGCATGTATCAAAAGTAGGTAAACAAATCTTCACTTTATAGAGAAATAGGTAGAGTAACAATGTAAATACTGCTTAACACCAGGGCAAACAAAATCCCACACAGACCGAAGACAAACAGACATACAAAAACAGACAAACAATAAATAAACAAATAACCAGTCAGCTAAAACAAAAATATCAATAATAAACAATAAATGTCAGTGTTGGGATCCCTCCAAAGTGCAAAAGTTTAATGAGGAATGAATGGGAACTTTATCCTCTTAACAAATTTGAAAAAAGGGCCCCATATTTTCCCAAATGTACCATATTATCTCACCCCGGTGTTCAGCTTGATGTTGGAGCAGTCCTCTGAGATGAGCGTGCCGCTGTCAGTGAAGTCAGTGACATCCGTCATGCCGCTGGTGCTGCTGGCGTCATCGGCGGTCCAGTCATTGGAGCGTCTCTCGTGTTGGTACTGTAGCGCTGGCAGCTGGATGGCCTGGATGTCCAAACTAGAATCCACTAACTTTCCCACTCTGAACAAACAAATTATCTATGGTTATCTTTTAAACAAACTGGAATAACAACAACAAAAGGGACTTTACATATGAACTCTTCAGTTTTGGCAGCAACTAACAAGGAAAATAGGTTTTTAGAAACATTACATGATGAATTCACAGAAGCAAAACGTATCCAAAACGCATGTATATTGTGTATACACATTGTTACGGCAGTTATTTTGTGTCAGGTCCTTCAAATCCATCAACGATAACAATTTGATTTCCTTTCAGCAGTTCAGTAAGGTGAAAAAACACTAGGCTGCTAGCAAACAAAGCAATTTCTGGGTGTTACAATTCAATCATCGTGTAATCAAGCACCTGCAAAGGAGGACAAATACATTCTATACACACCTTCATCTAGCCAGAAATGATTTTCCTTTGTGTCACCTACGAGTCTATCAGTTTAACCTTTCTATACCTCTGTTCTCTGGATTGGAATAACAGTATGAACAAAATAAGAAAATAAGGTTTTGGGGGAATGATGGAAAATGTGTTTTAAGCTACCAGTATGTATACGCTTAGGCTGCTAAATCTAAAATGTTTGGTCATCAGATGTTCTGGATTAGAAAGTAACATTATAAACTTATTTGAAAGAATGTAATATGTTTTCTAACGCCTTAATATTAGCAGTGTTAATATCTAACTGAGAGGGAGTTTTATTTGGCTGCAACATACAGAAGAACAGAAGGTAGATAAATAACCAAATGTTCAAACACACGCTTCCCTTGGTGTCTCGTTTGATGTTCGGTGAATGGTGGTAATGGTTGGAACTAACTGACTGCGTTTAGGTCACCATTTGGTGACTTGTAAATAATGAGGCCAACATTCTTGGCTGCACCAATTACAGTGACTACGTTCAGGCTAATTGAAGTAGCATGCAGTGTTAGCGGTTTGCAGGGAACACGCTCTCCTGTTGGTTGCCACAGATCAGGGGCGCCGTAAGGGGGTGAAAAGTTAGGACGATTCTAAGGGCCCGTGACTGACAGGGGCCCAAACTATTTTAGAACATTAAGAAAAAAATGTTTAAGTAACCAATGTGATATATTTTCATGGGGCCCAAAATCCCTGGCGGCACCCCTGCCACAGATACACATATAAAGTCTACAGGGAAGCAGAAATAAGTGCTCAGTTAACAGCAGGCACCTGGGACTGAGAGCTGTGAGAAAACGAGGCGAACCCTTCAGCCATAACTGGTTTCATGTGAATGAAATATATATTATTACACCAATGTGGCTCAATATATAAGCTATGAGTTTTAGATATAGATGTATTGTAGAGAGCTACTTTATTATGGAAACCACTTTCTTTTGCAATCAAATATCCCCTCTTATTAGTAAGTGAAGGGTTGAGTAGTAATAATAGCTACAGCAGGAAGTCACTAGCGTTAACCAAATGGATAGTAGGATTGTTAAAATACATCCATCCTTTCCATGTCAAAATTGTTTCAGTCTCATATAATCATGTTTACAATTGTGTCTGTCTTTCTTCTTTTTTCAACCCTTTTATTTACAGTTTGTAGATAATTAAAACAAAATATCACCTTCACTTTAAGTATTAATTGTGATAGTTATGGTAAGATTCAAATGAGAATACAAATGAAAATAATTGTAACCCAAAAATGGAAAAGGAATAGAGGTCAGTGAAGGGAATTGTGTATGAAGGTATGTAAAAAATGTGTGTATATTTGTATAAAGAAATAAGATGAGATGATGTCACAAAGATATGTTTGTGAGTCAATATTTAGGATTTATATTAACATTCTCGCTTTAGTACATTGGTTTAAATTGCTACTTAAATTGAAAATGTGCGTAGAATAACGAAAGGTTATTTTTGGGTCATATCCTACCATTATTGAAAATTAGAAAGACACAATCACTTTTCATATCATCCTATCTCTCCCACCTGAGGAAAACCTCTTCCATAGTGGTTACTGAAGCTCCGTAGCTGGCGATGCCCAGCTCTTCTCTGTTCATCTCCAGCTCAGCAAACAGCAGCTCAAACCTGAGAGCAAACACAAAGCGCATCGGGGAAACACATTACACGAATGAGATCACTCAATATTACAATATGAGCCCTTGATGAGTGTTAAGCGGACAAATCCAATATAAATCCAATCATAGAACAGCAATAAGTGTCACTGTGGAGTCAGAGTCCGATTAATTAACATAGAAGAATGTTGACGTTCAGGATATAAAAAGGAGAAAGCTATCCAGATAATTGCTTTTAAAATAGGTAAAAGAAATGGAAAGGTTGGGATTTCAGTTTGTGTGTATATTGTTATGAAAAGAAAGAGTTTGATGATCAGAGTATTTATTATAATTGTGTACTCAGTGTAGGTTTGTCACTAGGTTCAGGAGGTATGATTTATGGTCAGTGGTATTTCTACTCTAAAAGCCTCTTCACACGGTGTTATTGTGAGTATTCTACTCATGAACAAAGAGCAGTCTGACTCACCTGCTGGTGCTTTCTTTGGGCAAGATGAAAGAGAGCTCGGCGCCCGCACTGCTCTCCAGCGTGGCGTTAGGAACGTACATGTGGACGATGCGGGTGATCTCAGACACGTTACAAAGGGCGTCCTTTACTATAACCATGTGGTAGCCAGCACCTGGGGAGCAACAATGTAACAATGATCAATGTTCCCACTTTTAATAATGAAGTTGTATTTTCAACTCTCCTGAATGTCCAAGGCTTCCATATGAAGCAAGAACGGTAATATCAATCCTACATATTGAATCTCAAACATATCTCTTTATAATCTTTTTTCTTTATGCAAACATAAACACACCCACTTCTACACACATTCTTACACAATTCCTTTTAGTGAACTCTATTCCTTTCCCATTTTTGTGTTACAATTATTATTTTTTATTCTCATTTGCATCTTACCATAACTATCACAATTAATGCTTAAAGGTGGGGTATGTGAGTTTGAGAAACCGGCTCGAGATACACTTTTTGTTATATTCCATGGAATGCTCTTAACATCCCGATAGCAATGAATATCTTAAGTGCTTTGACAACAAATCCATAAAAAAATGTCATCTGTGGAAGCCGTAGTACTGTAAAAAGCACGACCAATCATCTGAGCCGGCCCGGCTAAAATAACTGGATGGCCTACCTGCCTGTCAGCCTTCCATCTGTGCACAAACTTATCTCGTGCCCTCATTGGTCATGTGCGCGTTCGTGTGTGTTGGAGGAGGGGCTCTGTTTTCCGGCTGTGTATTTTCAAATTCTAGCACACTCGAGCTGGTTTCTCCAAAATTACCTACCCCACCTTTAAAGTGAAGGTGATGTTTTATTTTTGGTTTAATAATCTATAAACTGTAAATAAAAGAGCAGAAACAGAAATAATAACATTTAAATAAAAAAGGATGGATGTATTTTAACAATCCTACTATCCGTTGGGTTACTTACTGCCAGTGACTTCCTGCTGCAACAGTATTTCCACTCAACTCTTACCATATTTGTTCTTAAGGAATAGTGGTGACCCGCAGCACTGCAGCTCTCCTCCTGCCATGATGGCGATGCGGTCGCCGAGCAGGTCAGCCTCGTCCATGAAGTGTGTGGTGAGCAGGATGGTGCGACCCCTCTTCTCCCCCTGCAGGAGGTCCCAGGTGGCGCGTCGAGCTGACGGATCCATACCTGATGTGGGCTCGTCCAACATGACCACCTGAAGATAGATAAGATTGAAAATAAAGGGATGAGACATGTTCAATATGAAGGAAGGATTGGATGAATAGGAAGGAATGTGAATAATACTCATGACATTCTTCACCTTGGAGTCTCCAATGAGGGCAATACCAATGGAGAGCTTTCTCTTCATGCCACCGGAGAGGGTCTTTGAGCGAGCGTGGCGCTTATCTTCGAGGTTCAGGATACGGATGGTGCGGTCTACCTCGTCTGGAATCTTGTCTCTGGAGAAGCCTTTCAGCTGGATATTGAGAAGATTAAAAAATTAATAACTCTAGAAAACAAAAACAATCAATTGTAAAGTTTGTGAAAGTTGCTTTTATGGATGAGCTAATGTATACGTTTGTACAGGTGTACCTAAAGACATAAAGAGAACACAGCACAATAAGTTTCTCTACCAACAATGAACGAGCAGGATGATAATAAACTAATGTGTATTTGCAGTTTTTTTTTTGTATAATAGATAGAAGATAGCATTGGAGGATGAAACCCTCTGTAATGGTCACAAATGCAGAGCACACAGCACACACAGTGAAATGTGTTCTCTGCACAGCGCCCGGGTAGCAATGGGAGTGGGGGGGAAGGGGGTTGTCCGGTGCCTTGCTCAAGGGCACCACGGCAGGGCCCAGGAGGTGAACTGGTACCTCTCCAAGTAGCAGTCCACACTCCATATTTAGGTCTGTACGTGGACTTGAACCGACAACCTTACGGCTCAAAGTCCAAGCCGCCTACGCGACTGCAGCGCCCTACGGACTGAGCCCCGTATACGCGACTGAGCCCCTTACAGACTGAGCCCCTACAGACTGAGCCCCTATACGACTGCAGCCCCTCGTACTGACTGACCCCTATACGACTGAGCCCCGTGATGACTGAGCCCCCTTACAGACTGAGCCCCCTATACGGACTGAGCCCGCCCTACTGACCTGAGCCCCTCTATAATGGACTTGAGCCCCCTACGGACTGAGCCCCTACTGACTGAGCCCCCTATACGGACTGAGCCCCATACTGAACTGAAGCCGCCCCCATACGTATCGAGCGCCCCTACGGACTGAGCCCCTACTGACTTAGCCCTATTCGACTGAGCCCCTACGGACTGAGCCTCCTACTGACTGGCCCCCTACGGACTGAGCCCCCCTAACTGCACTGCAGCCCCTTACGACTGAGCCCCTATGCGACTGCAGCCCCTAAGGACTGAGCCCCTACGGAGTGAGCCCCTACGACTGAGCCCCTTAAACGGACTGAGCCCCTACTGACTGAGCCCCTATACGGACTGAGCCCCCTAATGACGTGACGCCTCCGTATACGGACTGAGCCCCTACGGAGTGAAGCCCCTACGGACTGAGCCCTACGGACTGAGCCCCTACTGACTGGCCCCCCTATAAGCGCGACTGAGCGCCTACGGACTTGAAGCCCCCTGATACGACTGAGCCCCTACGCGGTGAGCCCCTACGCCGACTGAGCCCCTACGCGACTGCGCGCACGCCGACATGACCGTAGAGATGATCAGCAGGTGCAGAGTTTTTACTCACCATCATTAGGACAAGGACCAAAGTCCCACAGGAAGAGTTCCCAGGAAAGAGCAAGCCAGGATAGTAGTAGATCAAAGCTGGAGTTCTACATCATAAAAGGAGATATCCAGACCCTCTGAATAACTCACAAACACCCCCCCTTCCGAAGGCCGAGACTTCAGAGTAGAACTGACTGGGGGTACAATTAAGAGCGCTGACTCATTTTCCATTTCTCAAAAGCTTATAGTCCGAGCTAACCCTCCTCAGGGGCTCAGTGGGACTGTTCTCTTTCCTGTTGATCGACTCTCTGCCACTCCTAAAGTCCATCTGGCTTTCTTCTAACTTGAACCTCAACGGTAAAGATCTGCCTGATAGTGAGCCTGTCAATTCTGTTTTACACCAGATAAATGTACACATAGCCGTTCCATGATTGTGCGAGCGCTTCATTTGTAACCTACATCTGAATTAAACCTTGGAGTGTCTGATTATATATCAAATGGCGCTGCTTTGATTTAGGCTTTTACTAGTCTATGGATTATGATGCGCTTTGCATCCTGTGACACTTGTAGAGAACATCAACACCGGTGGTTCATTAGTGCAACCTCTACATGTATCATCTTGTTGACGAACTGTAACCTGATGATAACAGGTTTGCCCTGCTTGAACACTTGAATCCATAAACAAAGAGGTAACCCTGTCGTTGACTGTAATATACGTCGAATGTTGATGCTAAACCTCGCTTTAACAATTATGCTGGCTTGTTTTGTGTACACCAGTGGTTCATGTCTTCGCTATTCAATCTATTGTCACATGCCATATATGTACGATGTACGGTAATTAACATACCATCTATAGAATAAGATATTTTTCAGTACAAGAACGGTAGGTATGATTTGTCCAAAGACAGGGAAGCAAATCTCAATAACAATTGATGAGATATCTTGCCTTACACCCTTGCCGCTCACTTCGGGTTCCCCCTGTGTTTAGATAATAGGCTTACGCCAGTTTAGGGGCCCTTACCCCAATCTGAAGCATCAGTTTCTAGATGATCCCATGCTGTCTGCGATTATGAGTTAAATTAGCGAATCCCAGAATCAGCCAAAGCCATAAGTGGACAGCAAACTTCTGCAATGAACTGCATTCAACCGAGAACAACTTCGGTGAGTTTATATGATAAGCCTGTCCAAGTGCAGAGTGTTCCCATGTAGCTAAAACAAGCCCCGTCTGCCACAGACAACTCCTAAAGCGTAAGTTCAACACGTTCCATCTCTGTGATTTGGCTTCCTGGAGCTCAGGGTTCAAGTATCTCGTGGTGAGCAGAGGTCCGAAGCATGAAAGCCAAAAAGGCAGGCGAGCCCGAGAGCAGCTACCGCGCTCGTAGCAGCAGGACAGGCAGCAACAAAGTCTTCAAACCAGGAGATAGTTTTTGTCCCAATCCTTGCGATCGTGCGCTGCATGGGACTCGATTACCAACTCTGAAGGCCGATTGTAAGTCTCTGAGCTTCTGAGGCGTGTGTCTGACCTCCTTACTGTGAGACTCACCTGCGAGCCTGCATCGAATAATGTCAGTCTGAAGTATAGACATCAGCTTGATCGCACCCTGTGGTAGAACCTGCGAAGATAGGTATGTGTCCAGCCAACGAGTAAAACCTCTGCGAGCTGTTCTGTTAAGAGCCGACCGAGAGTGCTGTTCTGTTATGCGTCTGCCCATGTTGCAGACCACAAGATGCTATTGATGTGGGTTTCCTCTGAAAGTAAGGATATGAAGGGAGAAGGCAGCGCCTGGGAAGACAGAGCTGAAATGTTTGGCAGATGAATCGAAGGGAGAACAACAGAAGGATTCGAATCGAGACAGACGCCTCCGTCCAACGAAATGTTTTAGACTACACGCAAAGAAACATGCTGAGGAAGATAGAGCTTAGGCTGTTAAGTCTTACAACTCTGTATGCACGTCATTTTAACAGAAACATGCCAGCCTCATTAACAACAATGAGAGCAAAAGCAGAAGGACAATACATGAAACGAGCGGCTGAGCGATTTCATCAAAGAGCTGGAACAGGAAATCTCTGAGCTGAAGAAAGAGAAGCCCTCTGAGCTGAAGCCAGGTCAGTGACACTCTGAAAGACCACCTGCCCATTTTCTTCAAAACGTTCCATCCCTGAAAGTTGCTCCACCCACCAAGGACTGGGCAGAGTTAGCATCCCTCCATCATCAGATGAAGGGCGAGGGGGGCGGGGGGCGTGGATCTTGCCTGTAGTGAGAGCTGTTTGTTTCAGCTTGGAGGAGACACTCAGTTAAAGCGGGTGAAAGGAGCGGATGAGCTGATTCTGAAGGCGTTCCAGAGGTACGCCCAGTGGATGCTGACTCTTGCATCCTGATACAGCCCACATCCTAAACCATTCCTGTTCTCTGGGATGATGGAAAGGCAAGCTGAGTCATGGTGTGTAAAGCAGAATCTCCAGACTGAAGCCCACGTGGGAGAGATTTTTCGTCATTGTCATATATGTTGTAGCGAAAGCAAAAAGTTTCTTCTTCAGGCAGATTTTTACGGACGTCGTCAAGGTTAAGAGAAAGAGACCAGGAGTGGACTTTTAGGAGGGCCAGAGTAGTCGGACTCAACAGGGAAAGGAGAACGATCCCACTGAGCCCTGTGAGGAGGGGTTTAGCTGGACTATAAAGTTGAGAAATGGCAAAATGAGTACAGCGCGCCCTGCTGTATGTGTACCCCCCAAGTCTAGTCTCTCTCTGAAGAGTCTCTCGGCCTCAGAAGGTGGGCGTGTGTTGTGAGTTATTCAGAGGCGTCTGGTCTCGCTGGCCTTTTAGCATGTAAGAAGCTCCAAGCTGTGATCTACTCCTTCACTGGCTGCTCTTTCACTGCTGAGGAACTCTTCCTGACTTTGCGTCCTCTGTCCTAATGATGGTGTAAAACTTGCACCTCTGATCTCTCTGACGGTTCCATGTCCGCGAGTGGCGCAGTCCGTAGGGGCTCAGTCCGTAGGGGCTCACTCCCGTAGGGGCGTCAGTCCGTATAGGGCTCAGTCCGTAGGCTCGATCCGTTTACTAGGGGGCTCAGTTCGGGCAGTAGGGCTCAGGCCGTAGGGCGTCATCCGGTAGGCTCACTCCGGTAGGGCTCAGTCCGATAGGGGGCTCCGATACCATAGGGGTCAGTCCCGTATAGGGGCTCAGTCGAGAGTAGGCGCTCACGTTCCGTAGGGCTCAGTCCGTTAGTGCGTCCACTCCGTAGGGGCTGCAGTCCGTATAGGGCTCAGGTCCATAGGGGGCTCAGCGTAATAGGGCTCAGTCAGTAGGTGCTCAGTCCGTAGTGGCTCAGCCAGGTAGGGGCTCAGCGCGCTAGTGGCTCAGGTCCGTATAGGGGCTCAGTCGAGTAGGGGCTCATCCGTAGTGGGCTTCAGTCGTCGTATTAGGGGCTCAGTCAGTTAGGCTTCAGTCCTGTATAGGGCTCAGTTCTGAGTAGGGTCTCAGTCCGTTAGGCTCGAGTCCGTATAGGGGGCGTCAGTCTAGCTTAGGGCTCGAGTCCGTATAGGGGCTCAGTCTGGTAGGGGCTCAGCTCCATAGGGCTCAGGTCCGCGTAATAGGGGCTCAGTCGTTGAAGGGCTCCAGGTCCGTATAGTGGCTCAGTCTGTAAGTGGGGCTCGAGACTGGGGTAGCGCTCAGTCGACGTAGAGTAGATCGACTCAGGTCCGATAGGTGGCTCAGTGTCCGGTAGGGGGCTTGACTTTGAGCCGGTAAGGGAGTTGGTCGGCGTTCAAGGTCCCCACTACCAGGACCTAAATATGGAGTGTGGACTGCTACTCTGGAGGAGGGTTCCGAGTATCCAGCTCCCTGCCCCTGCGAGTGGTGCCCTGAGCAAGTCTCGGCAGGGACAGACCCCGGCGCCCCCCCCACTCCCATGCTCCCCGGGCGCTGTGACGAGATGTGAGCTGCGAGCCTAGTAACTAACACTCGTACTGTTAAATGCAAGAGAACATCATGACCTCCACTGGTGTGTGCTGTGACGTCTTGCATGGCGTGTGCACCAGTACAACAATGAAGGTCTCAAATACCTCCGATGACGATCTGAATCATATCTATCTAATAGTGGCACCACAGTACACGCAATAATCGATCTTTGCATGACAAGGGAGTGATTGAATACAGAGAACAATGGGAACACCTCATCGGTATTTAGGTCGAGTTTTTCCTCTGATTCTGATTGATTAATAATCATTCAGTTTTTATCATATATTTTTAACTTCAAGTCATTTATAAATCACTGGGTTAACAACACCAGTTTCTCAATGCTAATTTATTTTCACTTCTGCAACACTGCTGGGAAACCCAGTGGAGTGTGTGGAACGTGTTTAGAAATGCTGTACGATGTCAGATTAATGAAATGTAAAGTGGAATAATATAATTACATTAAAGGTGAAGGTTGTCAAGTTATGGGGTCTTGGCGCTGTTAACACTTTTTTGTTCCTCGAACTATAATCACCAAATTCTATAAAGTGAAAATAAAGCATTTAAGACTTTAGAAAGAAGTCTGAGTGTAATCTTATCAAAATAAAACCCAAGATGGAATTGCTCCAGAAGCTAAATAGTAGTCAATTTACCAAAGAATATAACGAGTCGTGTAAAGGTTGTCAATCATCTTATGGGTGGAGTGAGATGGTAGCGTGCGTAATTGCCTGCGAGGTTTAGCAGTGAAGAGGTGAGAGCTATGACCATAATTTTTGTGTCACAGAGGATGCATTCAAACATGTCATTGTGGTGAATCCAGTGGTTCTCCTATGGCTGTAGGACTGTTGACGTATCTTGTAGATAGAAAACAAATAAAGCAAATGGAAGCCTTTTCGAGGAGAGTGAGATTCATGTATACTTGCAATGCTATGTAGATCCAGAGCGTCCAATATTTTACACACTCTTGAGCAGGCATAGAACAGACAAGCGATAAGATCTAGCCCAACCGATACATTTATATTATATAATTACCCAATTGAGAGATGTACTCTCTGTTGTGAAAGGTTACAATAATTATGACTTTATCTAATATCAGAGATTTAGTATTTAAAGTATATTGACAGAGCCTTTCAAAGAAGGATATGAGTCATCAGTATTGTGATATGAGATTCGGTACATGTGACTCTAATGTAACTTTAGTATTTACTTGAGTTACTCGAACTTTACTTCTGCTATTTTAGTATCTTTTTGTGTCTAT